ACGGACACGGTCAAACTCGATNCCGGACAACTCGATGCCGACACCTCGATGCCGACACCTCGATGCCGACAACTCGATGCCGGGACGACTCGATGCCGGGACGACTCGATGCCGGACAACTCGATGCCGGGACAACTTGATGCCGGACGAATCGATGCCGGACGAATCGATGCCGGGCAACTCGATGCTGGGAAGCTGGGCAGAGCTGCATTTAAGCAGTCCGAATGAAGCCCGTCGATCGCTTACATAAGAATTCCAACTAGACACTCATTCCGCGACCAACGTTGCACACTGAGACTTGAACACTTTGGCCCCGTCCGACCCAGGGAAACTTTCAATTCGAGAATCGAACGCAACTCGGCTTTACCGCTACTCTCGCTCATCCACGAACAAGGGAACTTCTCGACGCGGCAGTCTCACATCCCTAGGTGTGCACTCCACGCTCAGAACTCTTCGCTAGTATGCGGACTCCGCCACAGCTCCTTAGAATGACAAGACTTCTCCCGTGATTGGCTGCACTGTCCCGCATGTCTGTGGAAGGATGAGCTGATCGATAGGTCGGATAGATTCTGATTGATTTGCTTCCGAGAAAATCACGGAAATTGTGCTTAACTGTGACTAAGCAGAAGTTTCTTGAGGCGGTGTTATTCCAAAACGACTATCTGTCGGAGTCCCGATCAGGCATCGATTCGCCCGGCATCGACTAGTCTCGGCATCGAGTTGTCCCGGCATCGAGTTGTCCCGGCATCGAGTTGTCCGGCATCAAGTTGTCCCGGCATCGAGTTGTCCGGCATCGATTCGTCTGGCATCGAGTTGTCCCGGCATCGAGTTGTCCCGGCATCGACTTGTCCGGCATCGACTTGTCATGTACCGTCGAACTGAAGTTCAGAAGATTCCAAAACTACTTCGTTGAAATTGTTGCGGATTCACCGGGTTTTCCCTAGACCTCAGACTATGAGTATAGAGGAGGAGAACACTCGTCTTACGTCGCCAACGGCTAACTACGGAATGGTTTTTGTTATTGACCACTGGGAGCGTCTGCACGCCGTCTGTAACTCACATTCATAAAAGGGGTCATTGGTGGCGCTGAACGCTTTCCGCATACCGCTACACCTCCCCCAGTCGAACGCTTCGGTGGACTACGTCTTTCAATGTAGCGTTCGCAGGCCCGGTGAGTGATCTGCAGTCACAGTGGCGGGCGACGCTCACGTTTTCGAGGAGGCCCCTCGGTGCGTCGAAGGAGACTCGCAGAGCGCAGTGGCCCTTGATTGCCACTCTTGAATTATCCGCCACTTTGACGTATTTCTGGATGCTAGAACTGAATTGAACATTTCGCTAGATTTGGATGGATGGCGGAGACGTCGGCTCCCAGGTCCACTAATGCTAGGGCTATTATATTTTTACCTAGATACACTTTTATGCGGTTCCCGTGAATTCGGTGGGCGGCGTTGAAGTCTTCACGCTGGTATTCTAACGGCCCGAGGAGTTTGCCGAGGCCCAATCGGCCAGGGTACGGTCCTTCTCGCCCAACCTGCGCCGGCAATACTTGTACGTATGGCCGATGTTGTTGCAGAAGTTGCACAGGACCCTTCCGTCCGGGAGTCTGCGGTTGCCAGTGTATCTGCCGTTTTCGTCGAATTGTTCCAGATCCTCCGTGTAGCCTTGGATGTGGTTTTTCGGGTTGAATGCTGCTTGATCATGCCTCTGCTGGACCGGGAACCCTCGGTTGACTTTTCGCTGGAACGGGGCTCGGTAGGCTGCTGATGCTGCTGGGGCTGGAGATCTGCTTCGGTGTCGATAGTGGGCTGCTTGACCTGATGGACCGGCTTGATGCTGGAGCTGGCTTTGGCGATCGATGCTGCTGGGTCGAGATATCGGTCTTTCCCTCGACGGACTGCGCGATCTTTCTTCGCTTCTGTCGTATCTTCCGACTCGGTTTATTGCTGGATCAGTTTGACTGGATTTCCTTTCGTTGAGATGCGGAATTGTCTTGTCTATCCAGCTGAGGTGGGCGCGCAACTCATTTATGGTCTTTGGTCTGACCGACAAGAGTGCGTATGCCTCCTCTGATCGGAGCGTTCGTCGGCACCTCTCGATCACTCTTTCCTCGCTCATTGCTGGGTCGAAGTCGTAGCATAGTTTCATCGTGTGCTCTAGGTGAGGTGTGAGGCGTTGATCCTTGTCCCTCGTGAGGGTCTCGAGCTTCCGGAGGGCCTCGTGTCTCTTTGCTGCTAGATCGACGAAACGGCTGTTGAACTGGGCTTCGAAAGCTGACCACGACGCCGACGACGTGAGCTCGGCTTGCGCTCTTTCGTACCATGCTAGAGCGTCTTCTACCAACGCTCATGGCACGCGTTTCAGCTTAATCGTCTCGTTGTCTCCATTGGAGTCGGCCGTGCGGTTGAAGGATCTCAGCCACTCGGCGGCATCCTGAGTGGATTTCCCGTTGAAGCTTTTGTAGTCGATCTTCTTCACTTGCGGATGTAGTTGTTGCTGCGTCCTCTCTGTAAGCTGGACCCGGATTTTCAACAGCATCGCCAAGAGTTCGGCGTTCGACATACCCGTAGGATCGTTGGTTTGCTGGATCACTGGGGCAGTCGGTGCTGGATCAGGATACTGACACTGCTGCATCGGCGGGGCAGCTTGCTGGGTCGGGGAAAGCACGTGTGTGCAAACGTGCTGAATCGGGGTGGATTGCTGTGCTGGAACTGGATTCTGGTACTGGCTGATTGGGGGCCTGTACAATGCTTGGTCCGGTCGTACCTTTTTCTCCCCCGAGGTGGCCGACGTGTAGCCACTCGTGCCGGCGTTATGCATGTCGGATACACGAGGCTTGTCTGTTAGGCCTACGTGCCCTGGGGTGTTGCGGAGCTGCTGGATCGCGCGATCTTCTTGCTGGAGCTGATGTTCGATGGGGTCTTGCGAACAACTTGCTTGATCCGATGCTGGATCATCCTGCGCGATCGATGATGACGAGGCGTTCGGGGCTTCTTCGGTGTCCGACTCCGATGATGCAGGATTCTGATTCTGAGGTGCCATGTCGGTTTCTCAGCACGGGAGGTGTGCGTTCCATCGGTGACGGGGACCGCTCGCAATCTCCACTAAATGTAAGATTGTGAATCACACGGTTTCACGGTAAACTCCGGTGCACGTATTTATTCGGGTTACGCTTGACGACGCAAGCGACCGACACTTTTCACGTACCGGAACACAGAGATTGATTCGCGCGTCTGCTTTTTTTTCTGCCTCCGGATTTCCCTCGCCCCTCTCTCTGTTTGCTCTCGAACTGTAGCGGCGGCTAGGCGGCGGCGGTCTTTGATCTACATGGTCTCGAAACCCTTCCTAGGATTTCCAGCGGGACATTCGTCTCTTGTGCGATTAACGGCTAAATTAACGATTCCCAGCTTCCGCACTCCCACAGTATTATCAAGAGACTCGTCTTCTATTCTATTCGGGAGGAGATAGGCGATGAATCGATCGTATTCCTTGACGCTCAACTTAAAAACTTTGAAATTCTTCTTCATTGTCTCTGTGAGAGTCGCTCCGTCTGTGTCTATAACCGGCTTGTAGCGTTTGACCCATTTTTCGAATGTTAGATCGGCTTCCGGGTCATAGTTGAATTTGGGGATGCGATTATTCAAGGAGTCTGTGATCTTCTGCGCATCTGTCGACTGGGTACTTATCAGATCTTTGATGAGGGCCTTCTGAGAGTCCGCTGTCTGAAGTAGAGCAGCCTTGACGGCTTCGTGGATCACCTTCGCCAAGTCGTTGAATTGGGTCGCCATTTCTCTTATCTTCGTGAGTTTCGATGTTTCTTGGAGACTTTTGCACGTGAAGTCGTTTCACAAGAAGTTATCTCCGTCGCCACTGTTGAAATTGTCGCGGATTCACCGGGTTTTCCCTAGACCTCAGACTATGAGTATAGAGAAGGAGAACACTCGTCTTACGTCGCCAACGGCTAACTACGGGATGGTTTTTATTATTGACCACTTGGAGCGTCTGCACGCCGTCTGTATCTCACATTCATAAAAGGGGTCATTGGTGGCGCTGAACGCTTTCCGCATACCGCTACACAAAAATTGAAAAACACCGACCGCAAACGAATATAATCATCGAGGACCTCATACCGTCCGACCCGGACAACCCCCACCGCTCGTCTACTCCAAACCACCTAGAAGAGACTCTGGAGCTCTTCACACCCTTCTCCCCGTCCATCTCTCCCGCCTACTCGCCAGCTGCTCCACATGACGCAGACATCGATTGGCCGGAAAACGAATAACCTAAAAAAGAAAACGCTACACCGTGTAGACCAAGGGTCTCTTTCCCTTTCGTCTCTTATTCGACTAATCACACTGCCACGAAATTTCAAGTCCTGTCACACATATCAAACAACGAACGATCCACCTCTCGAGCATTCACATAGTCCAGCTTCAACAACAGCCCGTCGATCAACACACAGAACTCCATATCGAGCGAGTAACACTGCAAACCCAACAAGAGACGCCGACAGACGAATGACACCAGATCCAGACGGACAACCGAAGGCGTCTTCCCCCTGCTATCTCCGTCCGAGATAACATCCGGAACATCGGGCACGGGACTCGGCGTTGTCCCAACCACAAAGCTACTCTCCTCTGTTACCACCGACACCACGGTCGTCGTGGTCGTATTCACTGAACGTGAATGCCGACTGTAGTATCCCTGAACTACAGAGAACACATATTACTTCACAAATGCAAACAAACGACAATCAAACGAACTACACAGAAACAGAACAAATACAAACCCAACAAAAATGAAACGCCGACGATCACCACGGTCCACATCGAGAGAAAGCAGCATTTCCAATTTCGACATCCTGCCTGCTGCCTGCCCGCTGCCCGATGATCGATACTCACGTCCGATACATCAGGAACCTCAATCCGTGCAGGCCCTCCCTGCATGAACTCTACGGCGTCTTCCCCATCATCGTCAGGACTCAGCTCCCTTAAACCGATCTCGTCAGCGACAGGGCATCACTCGCCGGAATGGAAGCTCCCGGGATCGTAATCTCATACCCATACTCAACCGTCTCGCCTAAGAAAAACGTTTACATAAACATCACGATGAATGAACAAACTTTACGTGCCAATACATGAAAAACGAACTCACTCCAAGATTCAGGTTCAACACATCAATGGACAATTGATGCTAACACGGACAAGTCGACCGATCTTCTTTGTCGCCGCAACGAGAAAAACAACGGTTACCCATCAAGCACCAATCAAAAACTTTCCTAGCCTCTTCAATTCCAAAATCGAGTGCTCCAACGACGAAACTCATTGAGACCCGCCAAACGCTAACAAACTACAA